TCCCAGCAACTAACGGCATAGGTGTACATGGACGCTACACATGATTTTTGTTTTGTCCATGTTCATCTTAAGACCTATTTGTTGATAGGCACTATTGAGGTCAGATATAACGTCACCCTGTCTTACACCTCTCTGCAGTTGGATAGGTTTCGTACTCTGGTTCTGTACTCGGATAGCCATCGTAGTCCTATTGTATAAACGCATCAGCATTTCGATATACTAAGAGTCAACTTGGCACCGTTTAAGGGACTACAGCACCGCCCAAATTATGACGGAATCAAATGTTTTTTCATAGTCCACGTATGCTAGATATAGTGGCAGATTTTGCTGCTGTCTTCTGATTTTGTCTTCTGTAAAATTTACTGAAGTGTATGTATGTGGTCTATGGTACTAAAGCCTTTTTAGAAACCGGCTTGTTCGGAAAGCTGGAAGTCGTCGAGTCTGCATGCGAGACGATTTGTAATGACTCTCGAAACAGCAAGTAGATGCGGCTCAGAAGGGAAATCGGCCTGTAGTATTTAAAGATGCTGGAAAGTCATTCTGATCTCGCCCAGACTGACGTCCGGAATATCATCGGAATAGTGTCCGATAAGATTTGCACTTAGATCGTTACTCATACTTGCATGTGACTTCTATAAAATCTCTCAATCTCACTCAAAATCTTCGGTGTCCCGGAAACGATGCTGCTACACTCAGTCTTCAGCTTTGATAGTTGGCTATTTCTGGCAGACAGATCTCTGGCAAATACTTTGGAGCCCTGGTTCCGCTCGATTTAATATGAGCTGTATTGAAGTTGCATAGGTCCCGCCGCATGCATTTGGGGATCTGTCTGTTCAGTTGTATGTATGCTGTCAAATCTGCTGAAGACTGCAGCTTCATTTCTCGTCTAACGGGCATGAGATTAAGAGTGTGATCGGAGAGTTTTTGTGTTCTTTTCCGACGGATTTTACAGAACTTAGCTCCGACTGCATGGACAGTTTCCACGAGCTTGTCATTCATATCGTCCACTGCATTGCAGTCTTTTAGGCACTGAAAACGATTTTGTAACTTGCGCTAAAGTTTTCGGTAGTTTGGATTAGAGCACGTGGGGGCCATTAATACCGTATAGTGGATTTCGGAGGAATGCATGGCTCTGGGTATATACTCCCACGAGTACATTTTCTTCACCTTCTCATCGAGAGGTGCCTGGGTTGGTGCGTATACCTGTATGACCTTCAGCGAATACGATTTTATTATATTTTAAAGAAATAAAAAAGAATTTGGAATGATAAAATACATTAAATAATGATTCATTTGTCGATTCTTTAAAATATCTCCTAAGAATTTAAAAACTACCATTTTAAATTGTAATTTTTAAATTCTGATGATAAGTGATATCGTAGCCTAAAAAATTATGTGAACCTAATTTTCATTTACCTCATTAAAATTTGATTTCGTTAGAGTTGTGTTAAACATTAGAGTCGTTTATCTCTGACTTCTCGTTTTCTTGTGAACTTACTTTCAATTACTTAAAACGGTAAGCTAACCACTAAAGTCCAAAATGCAAAGTTATTAATAACTTTCATTTAAACATTTGAGGAAATATTTAATGGGAGCGGACTTCTTTGATCTTTAAAAACTTTTTAACATTATCTGTGTAATATCCCTTATGTTTAACTGTAAAATTTGACATTACTTCTTTATAAATATATACCATAACATAATATTAAACCATGAAAACACTCACGAAAACATCAGAAATAACAATAACAAAAACCCATACAAAATCCAGTTCACCAACCGGACTCTACCGTTACTGACACAAAATTATGTTCAGACATTCGGGTTTTGATTTTGTGTTAATTTGTCCTAAACTATCCTCTTTAGCGCATACATTTTAATGTTAAGTTACTTGATACTGCTAGTTTGTGGGAACTAACATTAACATATTATCTATAAAGTCTCAGTATGAAATAAAATTAGAAATGTTTTAAAAGAAATAAAATAGTATCAATAGAATAAAACATATATTTACTTTTATGTGTGTAGAAGGTATATTTTATAACCATTATTATAATATAATTATTTTACGTTTTAGTCTCGTTTAAACTATAGCTTTAGTTTATTTTACAATTATTAACTAAAAAATTAGTAAATGTATGATAATTTAAACAGATATTTTTGTGAAACTTTTTTAAAATTGTAATATTATTAATAAAAGAAGTTACTTAATATCTCTGTTCTTTGGCAGTGACGTAATGCTTATTAAATTATATATATTTTACTTTAGCTAATAAACACAAAATCATAATGGTTGCTATTATAATACACTAAATATATCTTAAAATTTTAAGTGGGTAGTTCATAACATTACATCTTTTTTCAGATAATTTATATAATCAGGCGTTACTTTGCGGAAATCCATTATAATAAAGATTTCAATAGTTACTTTGCAACCATCCGCTTAATTAAATACAATGATGTGTCTTATCTAGATTGAAGAGCACCTCCCGCCCTCCCTCAATTGCGTGCATTAATCCCGTCACCACTAATCCCAACACCACTACTCCCAACACCACTATTCTAGGAAAGACACACCATCGACGATAATACGACACGTGTTTCGCCTCTACACGAGGCATCTTCAGGTGATGTAGACTCTACGGCGGCTGACCGCTAGGCGATATTTAAATACAAAGCCCGTGAAGTGGCGATGTAGGAATGTCAAATAAAATAATAAATCAATTAATTCCTCCAAATCACTCACCAAGAACTATTCTGTCTGTACTTATTACCTGTTTTCACAAATAAAAATTAATTTAAATTTGAAGAAGTTTATAACCCATGTTTACCAATCATCAAATCAATAAAATTTTGATTATGCCATCATTTAAACATCGAATGCCATCGAGTGGTTCCTTTCCGCCGTTAAATAAATCTTGTGATTTATTTATCAGTTATTATTATGACAAAAATAACCTGGAATCAGTTCGAAATCGCAGGGAAAAAAATTCGTCCTATGAGACTGTTACTTCATCTGTTCCTTTGACCATAAAATCAAAACTTGCACTTTTTCTAAATTTTTCATCTCCATCGGTCCACATATTATATTTTGCACCGTCCCTGTTAGCCGTACTCCTGAACGTAATGTAAACCAAAAAAGGCTATCAAATTGGTGTTTTGAGAAAATTCATTTTTTATTTTCTTTTATTGTATTGTAATTCCATGCTCCATTTCGTTTTGTTCTATTGCAGCAAACTGAAGTTGAAGAAAAGAGTTTTATTAAATATTTCAATTAATATTTTTTATAATGAATTCATATCCATGATCGTGCAAAAAATAAATGTCTATAAAACACAAACAAAGGCCATATCAAACAATATCAAAGGAGATTTCATGACCATAAATATTTTAATGGGGAATATGTATTTAAAGACACATAAAAAAAATAGAAATTAAAGGTAATACATTATTTTATAATTTTTGAAAAGATATATAATATATGATTCTGATTGAGATATGTAAGCGCATTTATTATTTGCCACTGTTGTTTAGAAAAAAAAAACAATTTTTGAACCAAACATCTATACCAAGTATAGGGTCCTCACTTATCAATAATCCGCTAAGCACTAGTCCGCTGAACATAGACCCTATAGATTGCCTCATGGAGGGGATTTGCTATAGTCACCATGCTTATTGCTTAGCAGCGGACAGGCAACCGCAGTTTTGTATTACTCTCAGTTCTATCCATTATGGCATATAAAAGTCCACTGCTGAACATAGGCCTCCCCCATAGATTGGATTTCAATATTTTAAGTTGTTACTCTTCGTTGCTATCAGGAAAATGCTACTACCTACCATATCTTCTGTTTCAGTTTCTCTCTGTCGCTTTTTGTGACACCCACGAGACGATTTTTTTATGCGCGAGCAGCTATGCAGGTCTAGGGAAAGAGATCAGTATCACTGCGACCTAAAAGATCTATTGTGATCGCTGCTATGGCTATAATTCACTGCTAAGTTATGTCTTCAATAAATAGAAGGAGTTGCTTAGCCGTGAGCAATTTCACTTCTTCTTGGCGGAGTACATAGTTTTCCAGATGAGTGTTACGTTTGCATCGTAATCAGTTAACGTGTGCAGAGGCGTTTCTTCGTTTATGGAACAGAACCGACACATCCTTGAGTTGCTTAGTCCCAGGATGGACATGTGCTTTTTAAAACAACAGTGTCAGTTAGGGCTCTTGCCAGAATGCGCAATTTATTTTTACTTAATCCCAGGGTTTCTGAAGCGAATTTACGATCAAAAGCCCGGATTAAGGTTTTAGAATGTTTGTGATTTACTGTGATAAAGAGCTTCAAGAGTCAAGCGGGCTAGGCTCCTTGAGATTCCGCGAAATAGCTCAGGTCCAAATTGTGTGCAGGAGATGATAGGGGGATATTTTAATGCTGACACTACATAGCAAAAGCTTACTTAATATTATAAGTAAGCTTAGGCATGGCAATAATTCCTTGACAAAGAAATAATAAATACTTCAGAGACAAACTGTATTCTTCTTCGAATACATCTTTTATATTTGTTTTTTACGCATATAAATGTTTCTCGTTAGTAATTTTAATAAAACTTTGCTGTAATATTAAAATTACTAACGAAAACAAAAATACAGAAATAGTTGTTCATTTACATGTTGTATATTTCTGCAACCGAAGCGAAATAAGCGCTAGTATGTTGAAGTATTTATTATTAAAACCATAAACAGTAAACCATAAAACAATCACAATACATTCTTATCATTGATTTCTGTTGGAGGGGAATTAGTCGAGCGTTATTTCAGCGACATATTTGTCATTTCTTTGGAGACACGTCTAGTATTTATTTCTTCTTCTTATATACAATTGCTTTGTTCCCATCGTTCTATTTTGTCGTTAAACAATGGTTTCCACGCTATGTGGGTAAAATTTAATTTGGAACAATTATAGTTACGTCGCTTCTTATTTTTATTTTCCAGTATTTAACAATAGTGCACATGTGTAGTATTTTTGTGATAAAATGTTTGTGTAAGGTTTGTTTAAGCATTGGATTAGTTAACACCTGGAACCTGCCAGTACGACAGTTGCAAATAACTAAAAAAAGACAAATTTAAAAAGTAATATTAAAAATTATCATAATCATTATCATCATCATCATCATCATTACAGCCCTTTACAAGTCATCTGCTGAACAAAGGCCTCCCCCAAGGTTTGCCACAAATCACGGTCCTGAGCCACCTGCATCCATCGACTTCCTGCATGTCTTACCAGGTCGTCACTCCATCTAGTGGGGGGTCGCCCTACACTTCGTCTACCGGTACGAGGCTGCCATTCGAGAACCTTTTTTCCCCAACGGTTGTCGGTTCTTCGAGCTATATGGCCGGCCCATTGCCACTTCAGCTTACTAATCCGTTGGGCTATGTCGCTTACTCTGGTTCTACTGCGGATATCCTCATTTCTAAGTTTATCACGCAGAGAAACTCCGAGCATAGCCCTCTCCCTAGCTCGCTGAGCGACTTTGAGCGTCTTCATACGGCCAGCAGTGAAGGACCACGTTATAATCATTATAACATTAACTATTTCTGAAAAAGGCCACCTTAGGGAATGCCACAAAACACGGCCCTATGTCATCTGCATTCTTCGATCAACAACGAAGTCTGCATTCATCGAATTTCTATGTGACTCACTAGGCCTTAACTACATCCATCGTGGGGCCGACTATTCTAACTACCTGCGTTGAGTAATATCTAAGGTAGTTAGTATATGTAATATCTGGGTATAGTCTGGACGCGAAGCAGGAAGAATTTCGTACGTTGACCTGTTATTACCTGTCTCTGTCACTCCCGCGTAAGTATAATGCATCTCGCTCGCACAGACTCAATGACCGCCGTCCTCAGAAATTGTAAACCTTTTACCTGAGACTGTAAGGTTTGTTTGCACGTGGTATTTGGTTGGCCTTGAGGCACCCTTCCACCACTAAAAATCCTTGGTTTGCTTGACATAATTAATTTTTTTTAATATTCAATCGTTAATTCACATCATCTGTCTAGAGTCCGTCTTTTTTTATAGAATAGTGTGACAAACGAGCACACAGTCCCCCTTATGGTAAGTGGTTGCTGATTGCTGTGACCCATAGACATCTACATTTATCCTCGATTACCAATTAATAATAAACCAAATATTTTACGCTGGTATTCTGTGAGTGCGTGGTCCTTCCTCGGTCGGGCTGACCCATTCATGCTTCAACTATAATATAGCTGCAGCGTGGCTCTACCAAAAATCGAATTACTAAAGCCGCGACTTCAAAAGCTCTCAACATTATGTGGAAATAATTTTATTCATTTATTGTTGAAAGTCAAAACCGTTTTACTGTATTTTTTTAAAGTTTTATATTAGTTATTATTTGTGACCGCAACTGAGTCGTACAATATACAAAGCTTATTTTTGTAGTTTTTTACAGTCTGTTATTTCATTTAATAATTAGAGTAGAGTATTTTAAGTGAAATAAGCAGTACCATATCCTCGATTTAACAAGTACGTTACAAAAATAAAATCATTACCAAATTTTTCATTAATTCTCAGACATACAAAAAATAGAATCAAAGTGAAAACCTCCAGCTTTTTTGATTGGGCTAGGTATGGTGATTATTCAAAGCAAATAATATTCAGTGTATGCAGTTGTATATTTCATAGTTGTTCTGCAATACCAGTTGTTTTATAATATTAACTTTATCGCAGTATTTAAACAACAAATCGAAGCTGAATCCTATGTTTTGTGGACATCGATAAACGAATGGCGCATTGATCTTTACGCCATGAACTTAAAAACGTAAAGATTCCTACAACCGGTCGATGATACTACAGTATGGCTACTTAGATTAACTTATCTATGTATACTCGTCTGTGAAGTCATCACCTGTGTCACCACCGTACACAATAATGAACACTACTGTATAGAGTATTAGGGTTAAGTGCTCGTAGAGTATAAACGACTGGTTTGCTACGGCGACGTCAGTACAAATTCTAATCTCACTTGGAGCGCTTGCCTCGACGAAAAAGTTTGATATTTTTCAACGGCACTCGAAAAATAAAGATCACAGATCTAAAAATCTGGTATTCAATAATTTACATATAAATATAGTGATTTGTGACTCAAGGATAATTTAAGTGGTGGCATATTTTAAAGATATCAAGGTGAGGATACCATTTCAATACTTAATATTAATTAATACGACATCTCTATATATTACTGTATGGATGTGTAGCTTCAACAGGAACTTTGTTTTTAATCTCGGTATAAACTTGTATACAAAATGATTTGTGAGTAAAGATGCATTGACCGTGAATACTGATTTTTATCTACAACTATTTATTTTTTTGTTGAGGCATTTTATCAGTATGCATTTATATTTGACAACAACTGATATAACCGAAGATATAAATTTTACAAATAAATTCATTGAAAAAGTAAACTAAATAAATTAAAATTTATGCAGTGACTATATTGTTTATATCAAGATCAATAAAAGTTTTTTTTATTTTATTTTAATGCGTATCAAATTTTAATCACGTAAACGTAGGATGTTTAAGTTTATAATTCTATTATTATTGTTACGCGTTAAAAAGAAATACCTAATACGGGCTCCAGACTCCTGAGTGATTCACGGCGTGAATTCACGCCGTAATTTTGCCGCGAACTCGTCGCGAAAAACACATCCCTCCACATTCGCAACCATTCACAGTTTAGTTCCCGCGCTCGTCGAGAATGGACGCTGAAATATGCACTGCTATCCCGTGACGCTATGCGCTTTGGCTCACGAGAATTACGTGTATATAAAAGATAAAAAAACCGTATTTGCAGTTTCTTTTTACAATTATCGCTTTCTAGAAAAGCACCGATCACGTCAAAGACAATTCAAATGGGCTTGTAAATTTTATCGCTGCTTGCTCCAGACTTCCTTTGAGAATCGTTCACCTTTTTCTTATAATTTCTATAACTGGACATTAGACTTTCTTTTTTTTCAATCAGTCACTTCAACGCTTTTCGTAATAGAGCCATGCTGCAGTTATATTAGTAGTATCACGGTAATATTATCTATACAGTATTGTAACTCGGCCGTATCTTTGAAATAAATGCCTAGAGCCGCGCGGTACGTAAACATGCGATAAGGCTACCGTCTCCATCATTTGTACATTTGCCTACTTTCTATTTGGTTTTATGATTTATGATTGTAAATATACTTTATTATATAAAGAAATATAATAGGTATTTTGTGAAATGAATAGGTAGTGTTCAATAAAAATGCGTGTTGTTTTTTGATTGGTAGATTTACTTAAAAAAACCATGTTTATGTTTGAATAACAAATCGGTCTTATAAAATTGCGACTAAAAAATATATACGCCTCGGCTGAGACATACGAAATGCTTCATTATTAATTTTTTTATTATAAAAATCCGCATTCTAATATATTAAGTTTAATTAAAAATTGTTTTGGGAAACATGGACAAGGTGGAGAATTTTTCGATAATTTCTTACTTTACAATTTATATGTTTGGTTTTAAATGAAGTTCGGATTTATTATTTCTTTATTTCTAATCTATTATTTATTTCCTCCATTTTTTTATATATTGCACAAAATCGTCATTGCGGCAGTCACGACTATAGTCTGCATGCCGAGTGCATGCCGAGATCGAGGTATTCTGTGAGAGCGTGGTCCTTCCCCGGTCGGGCCGACCCATTCGTGCTACAACTATACTACTAATATAACTGCAGCGTGGCTCTGCCACGAAAAGCGTAGAAGTGACTGATTGAAAAGAAAGTCTAATGTCCAGTTATAGAAATTATAAGAAAAAGGTGAAGGATTCTGAAAGGAATTCTGGAGCAAGCAGCGACAAAATTTACAAGCCCATTTGGATTGCCTTTGACGTGATCGATGCTTTTCTAGGAGAAAGAGATAATTGTAAAAAAAACTACAAATACGGTTTTTTATCTTTTATATACACGTAATTGTCGGGAGCCAAAGCGCATAGCGTCACGGCGATAGCAGTGCATATTTCAGCGTCCATTCTCGACGAGCGCGCGAACTAAACTGTGAACGATAGCGAATGTGGAGGGATGTGTTTTTCGCGACGAGTTCGCGGCAAAATTACGGCGAGAATTCACGCCGTGAATCACACAGGAGTCTGGAGCCCACATTTGACGTGGGCACAAAATACCGACACTGAACGGGGAACAAGGCGTAAAAGGCGCGAAGCCCGTGAACGGGCGCGAAAGCCATCCACATTCGCGGTTCACGCCTTTCACGGGTGTTCACGGCGCGAATGTGGAGGGCGCTTAAGCTAATATTCAACCAGTATGTACACGTACATACATTAGACCACTAACATCTACAAACAAAGAAGGCTAGCACAGAATAAATAATAGTACTACGTGTTATAGATGAATTGTCAGCACTGTTGCCTAATATGCCTTAACTTTACTACTCTATATTCTTCAAATAAACAAACCGGCTTACCCTGTTGGACTCTACGTATAGTGGGAATATTACTGATACTATACTAATTATTATTAGAAAATAATTATAATCATGTGTATATGTTTAAAAATCTAACTGTCGCGTAATTTATTGATCCTTACAAGGTCAGCTTGTTGCGATTTTAATGAGACGTGTATTATCAGACTAGAAAATCAAGTTCATTTAAGTGCTTATTTCTAGTTTTTAGAATAATACTTCACAAAGTTTGATATTAATTATATGGCAAACGTTAATCCAGTTAGAGTTAGAATAATGCCGGTTATGTCTTCTCCTCCAGATTGATTTCGGCCATTGCGATAAATTTTCAAATTGACGAATGGGAAGACTGTACTGTGTTTGTCACTTTACAAGACAAGTTTTCAGCGTACGACTTATCCTCCAGTTTGATCGGTTGGGTAAAAGACGTTTTGAGTGAATAGTCTCTCCGAGTCGCTGAATAACGACTTATGCTGGAGTTTATAAGGGGTCCGTTGTCTCCGCAACTCTCTTCCTGCTGCCTATTAACGCCTGTTTATTCGGGCTTATTAGCTTGAACGGGATGACGGATCTAAGCGGTCGCCTTTTGTAAGCATTGGGTGCACCAAAACTGATTTCCATAAACTCGAGACTACGCCTAGGAGTACAGGAGAAGATGCGTTAGAACTGATGCCAACTTGAAAGCACATGTCTTTGGCACCATGGAAGGGACTCCATCAGGCTCACTCGACTTGTTGACGACCAGGGAGAGCGGTACCACTTTGCGCACTGAGCACTATGTGAACCGTGGTGGTGTGTTCCCCTCGTCATCTATCCCGATGATAAAGAGAGCCTAAGAGATCCACTTTGTTCTTCACGGCATAGGCCAGTGAATCGTCCTCCCTGCGTAGAGATGGCTAATAGAAGTTGCTTGGTCAGCCTTCATGGGAGAACAGAACGCACGGGTTCTCGTAGGAAGGCGAACTAGTTTCTCGTCAATTCTGCTAATGTGCTCTGAATTTGCGTTTGCAATTACTTTTTTGAAGAACCTTGAGGCGAAATTATACTTATTTTTAAGAGCATAACGTCTATTACGAGTACCATTTGGATGTGGTCGGTGAGTCGGCCTGTGTTGGCATTACCACTCTGTGACTTGTAAAGGTATCCGTAAATCCCGTTATCTACGCGGAGTCAAACGATGTACAAGTCTGTACCGTAAAGACTGCCATTGCCCCGAGAACAAATATCTTTTCTGACTTATACGCAAACTCCAGTCAGAGGCACAAAGTAGTGCTAAAATATGCACCCCAGGTAGGAATACAGAGTCAGAAAGAGCTAGATCAGCTTCGCCTTCTCCAGATGGTAGTGAATAGAGTTAAGGTTCGAGTGGAGTCTCCTGATATTGCAGAAATTCACGGAAAGAGTTGCAGGGGTCGCCTTTGTTCTAATGTTCTGTTTGCCCCGAGCGGTGTCAGTATCGAGCGGAATTTCACTCTCTCCCCCGGAATAGGCTTGACAATCTGAGGACCAACGCAGGAAGAGTAGGGTTACTTGAGCTTGGATGTTCAGTGAGGGATTCTCCGTCACTAGGGGTGCTGGTACTCTCTTGGGGAAGTGTTTTATTTGATTGAAACGCAGATAAAAAATCTACTTCAAGTTGGTGTTCTGTGAGGTCGTGGAATCTCCTCGGTTTAAGCCGGCTTATCCATAATATTTTAGCAAAAGCTGCTGCGTGGCTCTACCACTTTTAAGACTTGGTTTTTTGGTATATTTTGTAATATATCATGAACTTATATCCTATTTAATAAATATATTTTATTTTAAACCTAAATATGCTGTTTATGCAGTCGCTTCAAATGCTCACACGTATATTTACCCGCCTGCGCTACTCAAAGGAGGTTATTGTCTATATAATATGTATGTATGTCAGATTTTGATGTTTCTTACGTCAACCAATTATTCTTAATCTAGTGTCACTATCGCCATGACAGTAATCAAAATATGGCCATCAGACGATATATTGTGAAAAATAAAAAGTTGCAGTTGACAAACTATTTCAAATGGGTTATCATTGAATAGGTCACATCGTTGAACATCGTCTCCAGCATTATTATTTTTCATTTTGAATAAACATTTAGGATCTATAACGATTTAGGGTTGGTTAGCAACCATTCTCATTTACATTTTCTAAACTTATAATAAAGCTGTGATAAAGTTTTTATTTAAAGTTCTAAGGTTTTCAAAACAGTAGGTTCAGCAATTCACATTATTAAACTACTTTAACTTTTCCGGTAGCATACAGAGACTAACAACAAAGGCAAAATATTTTGTCATGTAAAACCACCTACACTATGATTTATTTTACGGCTATTAGAAGTACTGACTACTGACCATTATTCATTAACATTTTATACAGTTCATATTTACAAGGTTCATGTTCTACGACCTAGTAGTGCTGGTGTAAAAATATATCTACTGCTCTATATCGCCCTGTGGGTGACGTAAGAGGCAACGAAGGGCAAACGAACCAGGAGAAGGACATCAGCGTCGTCCTAATAATGACAAAAAAAAATTGCATAAAAATAAAACAATATTTAAAAAAATCTATTTATAAATACACAGTACTGTTATGTTAAGTAAGAACGTGTATTTTTGCTTTAAAATTTTAAAACTAAGTACAATTGAAACATCCTTGAATATTA